GTTGCTAATTATCGGGTTTTCCGAAATCCGTGCTGGGCTGGGGACAATAAGCCATTATTCTCTAAAGGATCCATTAGAGAATCCGCAACAATGAATTCCCCGACTTTTGACAACACTGGAAGGAGAGTGACAGGTCGATAGTTTGCTGGATCACCACGGGATCCACCTTTGTAGATTGGTCAAATAACACCATTTTTCCACACCTGAGGAAGCAAATCTTCAAACAATTTTTAGTATAGTCCACCTAAACGATCGGCTGTGACTTGCCAGGGTGATAAGGGCTGGTGGATATATGTTGTCTTAACCCGGTGATTAGTTCGTCCTTAAAGCCAGGAGCTTTGCTTTTATTCTTTCGGGATAAAAGATAACATCTGTCAGTAATGGATAAGAAATATATTCCGGCAAACGGGGATGTAGTAGCCCAGTATCACCAGGCGCACTGATCACTTGATTGTACTGTAGTCTAACCTTTCCGTAGCCTTCTTTGCTATCGTTGAAACACGTCCTGCTAGGTTTAGTATCGTAACCCCATGTTTGACTTTCCGGGAAGCGTTTACATGCTTAAATGATAGCTTCAGGTTTGCGATAAATGTCCTCGCCAGCGTGTTATGATAAGTGTGCTTGTCTTCCCACGCCAAATTGGTACAATCTGAATTCAAATTATTTATCATCTATACAAGGCAATACATTTTTCAGACGCATTCCGGTAAAGAAATAAACGAAACAAACAGGAGATCCTTGACAGCATGGAGTGGAACTGGAATTGCTTTAGTGTAACTACAGGTATTGATCGAACTCAACAGGCGGTTTTCAGTCTTCGGAGGCGCGACACTTATTAGAAGAAACTGACAAATGTGATTTGATCGTCAACATGGTGAAATTCAAACAAAAACAGGATATTGGTAAAAATGAAATACCTGTATCATACCCCTGATTCATTTTTGTCAATAAATTCTTAAAATCTTTTTCTACAATGGTGTAGTAATCTTAAAACTGACAGACCAACAACCGTAATCGAAATCGAGAAGTGGCGTCTTTATTAGGTATTCAAGAAATAGTAGCAAAAGCCGGAAAGGATACTGTCACAGATATGTTACGTCTGATGTAAGGTAATACAAAAGTAAATATATTGAATGAAGTTCAAAAGACTGGGTGTTGGAAGGATGAGATTTGATGAAAGTCAGGGTATCGCAAGAGTTCGATCAATATCTGCACGCTGCATCCAATCCATGAAAACTCACCTGTATGTTGTATATAGCGCAATCAAGCCGTATAACTGGCGGTGAACATTTTTAACAACAACTGACTCATTGTATTTGAAAACTCTGGTGTTATTTGTGCTGTAGGAGATAACGAATGTGTCACTTAGCGTGAAGAAGCGCTTCGTCCCTATCAGATGTTTTGTGGTGGAATAACTGAGTTTATATGTGCCATCGGTGACGTTTAAGGTTACCACTCGCTGTTTTCTGATGCCTTCGGTCACCTGATAACGCAGTCCTACCAGTGTGGGTGGACGACCATCTATTTTTGAACCGATCATTGAGCTGGATTCATCGTGTAAGACAGTGGATCTTTCACTGAGGGATTTAGCAACCGGACAGTAGTGAAATCAACGATGGCTTCAGTTCCATAGTTGATGCACCTTCAAATTAGTGTTAAACAAATGGTAATTATCCAAATAAAATCAACACCCATCCTATCTGCGCCTAATATCTTATCCCTAGTTCTATTCAGTTTGAATTTTTTCAAAGAGAACTTCTTCGAATATCCTTTTGGTTGTCAGGTTGTTTTATTGCGACGGTACATGCTCGGGTCAACAATTTGGTTCCGTAGATTTTGCAAGTTTTTCGAAGAATATGCCAGAAAGAATGGGCCCTAGGAGAATGTCGCAGTGCCTCCGTTTAGCTATCAATATCCCCAATATGGGAAGAAGAGTTGCACAACAACTACACAACAGTAACTGTCCTTTCATCCCCCCCCCTGTTTGCAGTCCCTTGTGAATTTACTTCCGCCTGATAAATAACCTCGCTCGTTTCAAGCAGTAGGTTGGTGAAAAACAAATTNTTCATATTAATATTAATTCATATTAATTAAACAATTAATATCCACAATTATCGTTTAAGTGCTTTGAATGCTTCTATCCATCAATAACGTACATCAATAAAAAGTTGTCTTCCGTATCGAATTAGGCAATGGATTCTCTAATGGGTTATAGAATCTCCCCG